AAAATTTTTATAAAATTTTGTATGTGTGTGTTTTATATGATAACGTCTCTTATATCATCATAAATATAATAGTCTATATAATATAATCTCTATACGTGAATTTGGACTATATATGATGCATTTCTATTTTATCCTACAGGTTGGCAGAATTTTAAAAAGACTAGTCACATATCGTCTAAAGAATTATTTATAAGTATTACAGAATAATATAAATTTAATAGAATATTTACTCTTGAATTGGTTAGAGAATTTACTATTAAAAAAAAAAATATTCGGTGAGAGATTTGAAACACCTGTATAAATAAGATTGATCGATTATTTGTTCATTATTTTCTTGTTACAAAAGATGAATAGCTTTTGAAGTTTCTTACATAAATATTGTATTTTCAAACCGTATGGATTTCTAAAATGTTATTAATTCTGAGAAAACTGACGTTTAGCTCCTTATGAATAAATATCATCCATTTATTCATCAGACTAAAACATTCACGAAGATTCAAAGATAGTTTACAGATGATAATTTGCGACTGGTTTTCGGTACAAGTCTTTCACTCGTTGATTTAAGCCAGCAAGTAGACATCTCTCCAAGCAACATAGTCGAGTATTTGAACGCTGTATTTACGAGTATATATATAATATGCTTGATCTATTAAATCATTTAATTTATGTTGATCGTGTCTTGAATTAACGAGAAATTTTATAACAACATATTTTGTACAAATTATACAAATATGTTTGTCATGTAATTTTTACATTGCGATTCGTGCAATTATAAAAATTAAATGCGTTTTGTTTTTAAACATTTTTGTAAACAAAATTTTATGCATGTGAAATTTAGGAACTTTAAAACACGTGCATCATTATTTCTTGAAAAAAAATATTAATGCACACACAAATATATAAGTACATAAGTAAGTATGATTATCAAATTGATCAATAATAAATTGATAATAATAAACTGCACTTTATATGAGCTTTATATGCCTCTTCATACGAAAAACAGATGGGTAGATTATATATGTCCAAGATTAAATTCGCATACATAAATCCGTCGCATATATAAATCTATCATTTTCGAAGTAATGGAATTTATGAAATTGTAGTAATATATAACATTTTATTATAACAAAAATTTTATTTTTTTTTAATATAATAATTGTAACAAGAATTATAAAAGTAAAAATAAAATGGCTATATAGATATCAAGTCAATTATATAATAATCTAAATAGAGTATTTTATTGCTGCTCTATTATTATTGATTGCATATATTATTATCGAATTTTCACAAATTTATATTACTTCGAGATTGTTTAAAATAAAAAATAATTTAATATTTACGGTACGATACACAACTGCAAAGTTGTACAATTGTTTTGATCTGTGAAATACAAATATCCAAATTGAATATATTTAAAGCAGTGTCCCATATAATTGATATTTCAAAAAAATTATTATTTCACACATAAATTTTTCATTTGTTTAATAATTAACAGATATTTAATAAAAAGTTACATAATTGTCAGAAATATTTTTATATTAACTTTTATAAAAGATAAGAAATGAAAAATTTAATTCTTATTAAATTCTAAGTAATTACAAATCTTTTAAACAATGTTTTGAAATATTTTATATAAAAATATTTATTATTAATATTTTATCATATATTTTAAATCAAAGTGTACAATATTTTATATGAATTTTATACAATGATGTGAAATAGTTTGCTATTACAAAGATACACGAACAACTTTCATATAAGACTAATGAATAATAGGTTAAATAAATTATAATAAATTATAATAAATTATTCATCACATAATTGCTCCGCCTTCGCCTGATATTTTCTCGGGCCTCTTCTTTTTCTCTTACTCATCTTTTGCTGCTTCTTCATGTTACTCACACGACATGACACCTACGTAATTAATTATGATCGTACGAATAATTAGCACAATATAACGATTGCGCAATACTTTTATACGGCACTCCTGACTTTAATCTTACGTAATACACGCATTTTATTATATGACGCTAGAAAAAATGCGAAAACTATACGATCCGTTCGGCTGTAGACAATTATACGGTCAATTTCATACGCCATTCTTCGCAACAATGCTACATCTTCTTAGTTAACGAATATTGTGTATTCATGTCTCGAGAAAATTGTATTATTTTGCCTAATGATATTTAAATGAATGAATATATAAAATTAAAATTAAAATAACTGCAAATTAAAATATTTAATTAAGTTTTTCAACTGTTTGCATGATAGATTTTAGTCGAATAAATCTCGCGAAATGTGTGTTTTGACAACGATGTACAAATCCTGAATTTAAGTGATTGATGAATATTAAAATATAAGGTTAGTAGTGACAGAAGTAAATTTCTATTTGCTAATTAAATACGTTGTAACATTGCTTAACTCGCGGAATCGATCTATACTAATTATACGTTTCGTTAATAATTGAAAAACACGAAAATGATATCAACATTGTCATAATACTATGCGAATTTATAGTTTAGATGCAATAGACAGGCAGAAAATATATAACGAAAATTTGATATTGCAAGAGAGCACATACGATGCATAAATCTGTATGTATATACTATTAATAAACAGTTACATATATCATGTCTTTGTTATTTGAATCAAATAGCGCGTGAATAGTCGCATAATAATTATCTTACGTGTATCGCGGGAAATACGCGAATCAATAATCACGGAATAATTGGAATAATCACGGGAAATAATCGCATTTCAAAAAGTAATGCATTGCATGTACAGAGCGACTCGCACTGCTGCCTACTCGCTCGAGTCTCGTCACGCGAATGACGAGACGCAGCGCACTGACCTTGTATATACACAACGGCGCGCTTATGCCGCAAGAGACGAGACAGTTTATTCGTTGTCACTACGAAACATTCAATACAGTATAAAATAAATGTATGTATATTCTGTTCGAATATAGAACGAATATTCTGTTCCTTGAAGTTTGAATTTATTATTACAAAACGATTAATTAAATTCAAAATAATATATATAATTGATTAAAATGTAAGAGTGACAAACACATTTTTTGTTACTTAAATCAATTGATCCTGTGATTCATATATTATTGCATGCTTTCAATTAAAAAATGATTACATTTAAATCGGCGAAAATTTCAAAATTTCAAAATGATAAATTTGAAGGATTTAAGAAATAATTATCACTCTAAATATCGAAATAAAATAATTTATGATTTTTCTCTATCTTGTTTTGATTCTTATTTCGAATAAATAATTGTGTAAAATAAAAATGATTTAAATGTAATTGGTTAATCATTTTCGGGGATTGAAAGTATGCAGTGAATAATGAATCATATCAGGATCAAATGATTAAAAGCGTATGTATTAACATTTTATAAATAATTTATTCAAACTTAAAGGAACAAAATATACCGCATATACATTTATATTAAGTAAAATATTCTGAGCTGACAACGAAATTAATTCTGCTCGTTTCTTATAACGCATTGTTGTGTGCACAAGATCATCTTGCTATCATTTGAACAAGACTCGAGCGAACAACAACACGTGCCGTTGTGTATTGTCATATTATCTTTCAAAACGCGATCACTCTCTGTGATTATTCCAATTAGCGATTATCGATTTGCGTAATTAATGCATTTTCATTTATTCGTGTTAAACGACACGTAAGATCGTCACGTATACATGACAATTTATGCGCTATTTGATTCCAAAGTATCGACAACATATGATATATGTATTGCTTATTAATAAATGTCTATGTATAATTTGTCGAATTTATGGATTATATACTGTGTACTTGCAATATCGAACTCTGATTATATTTTTAGCAATTTATTGTGTCCTAACTTGACTCGCACAATATCACGGCTAAAAATATCATTTTTGTTTTTTAATTTCATTAATCAAATGAACGGATAGATCGATTTTGCTCAAACAAATTCGCGACGTAAGATTAATTATAATAAACATAGTTATTAATTCTCTATTAATTTAATTTTTCATCAAACGTTTAACAAATTCAACGTTTGTACATTATTGTGCGTTACATGTATTTTGCAATATATATTCGATCGAAATTTATCATGCGAACAGCAGGTAAAACGATGAAATATTTTTGGATATTACATTCAGAAGAGATATTTATTTTAAATTTCATTGATATTTCATTTAATTTTAGATAAAGCAAAATTGCCTTAAAATGTGCGAGTATACTATTCGTTAACAATAGAGGTAGCATTGTCGCAGCGAGTGGTGCGTGAATCTGTCCATGCAATTTTCGAGTGTCCAGTGGATCGTAGTTTTCGTGCGACGCATTGTTTTCCCGTCGCAATATAATAAAGTGCATGTCGCGTGCAATTAACATGTCGCGAGTGCCATGTAAAGGTGCCGCACGATCATTGAATTGTGCTAATTAGTGCGCGATCGTAATTAATCGTGCGATTATCGCGTGAATGTCATGAAGAAACAGCATGAACGAGCAGGATAAGTAAGAAAAAAAAAAGAATGCCCGACAATGTCAGACAATGACAGAACAGTTAAACCGGAATAATTTATAATTTATTCAATTTGTTAGTCTTACTTGTCAGTTTAATTGCTAGTTTGTGTATTTCCGCAATGAACTATTTTACAGCATTGTATAAAATCCATATAAAATATTGTACATTTTATTTTAAAGTATTTAGTGATAAAATATTTGTTAATTAATTTTTCATATAAATATAAAGTATTTCAAAAAGATATTGTTTATAAGATTTATGATTATTTAGACAATTTAATAAGAATAAAATCTTTATTTCTCATATTTTATAAAAGTAACACAACAAAAATTTCCCAGCAATTATGTAACTTAAATATCTGCTTAATAAACAGATGAGAAATTTATTTTCGTGCAGTAATTATCTTTTTAAAATATTTATTGATTTGGGCACTGCTTTATATATATGATTTCGATGTATTTGTATTTTACAGATCAATCTTGTTGACTACAAACCCGCCTTTGCGCGTCGTAATAAGGTGAGTATTTTTTATTTTATATAATTTTTCGAGGTAATAAGATATAAATAACTGCAGTACCAAAAATTCCTTGCCACGAAATTTAATTGCTAAAAATAGGTTAATATTTTAAGCTTAACATATGCAGGCCCACGCGTAGGATTTGTATGAAAGATCTGCTCTGGAGAGTAATTTTAGTTTCCTCCCTATTTCTTTCTCAAATTATATATTATAAAAATTAATAGAACATATTATTAAAAATGTTTTTAATATGCACATATTACAAATGTGAAAAAGAGAAAACTAGGAATATTTTACAATTTCATATACTTTAAATAATTTATTTAATAAAAATGTGACAATAATTTTATATGTTTATAAAATACAAAATGTATCAATTTTTATTCTTATATTTCATAGTTATCCATCCATGATTTATCATTAACTTGACTATATATTACTTGAAATAAAGTAAGATAACATATAAAATCTAAAAATTGTGTGCGTTGTAGAACAAAAAAATTTCCACGTAAATTATAATATATATTTCGAAAGAGAAAGACAATTAATCTATTACACACACACACACATACACGTATATATGCGCATATATGTGTGTATATTTTTTAAATGTACGTCATATGAATGTTATTATTTAGATATCAGCCATCAAAAGTAAAAGACATTTTCAATGAATATGGAATACTCAAAGTATCGAAGCTACTGCATAATTCTGTATTGCGATACACCTCGTATTGGGAAAGTATACTGGCTTACTGCTTCATACAACGAATCTGGTGCATCCAGATTGCATCACCGTTGTGGTATATGGGTCGTTAGTCGATGCGCATAATCTTCGATCGCAATCGTGGCTGGTGGTCCGATTATATCTAGCATGGTATATCGATTCTACCGGTCGATATAGGTAGATATCGAATTCGAATCTCGGGATGATCCTTCCCGCAGACGGCTGCAAGATAGAACCAGGAGCACAATTGCGAGGAACCTAGTTTCGAGAATGAATAGCAAATGAGCGCCAGAATTTCTACATAATGCTCTCGAGGAGAAGTCTCAACCTTTTTGCTATATTAAACTAAATGATGTAAGCGCAACCAATGGATTAGATTCAAGAGTTGTAGTCTATCGACACTTTGTTAATCAATTAAACATGAAGAATCACATCATCATACTCTAATGCTGTGTAAAAAATTAATGTAATTAATGTTTTTCAAAAATATTAATCAATAAAAGTAGACAATGTAATTATCATAGTTAAAAATATTATTACCCAACTTATATTTTAACAAAGTTTCATTGCAATAAGTTGTTTTCTTATCTTTTGATTTTATATATTATTTATACATGTATGTATATTTTTTATTCAAATCGACGATGCTTCTCAATTTTTTTATAAACTCCTAATTGCAAATTTATAAAATCTCGCTTTTGTGACAAAATTTTTGATTATAATTCTCAATGATTCAATACATACGAGTTAATGTTATAGGTCCTTAATATTATATATTGCTGAATCTCTTTAAATCCTTGCTGTTACAAATATTCTATTGTACAGATTCTTAGTTTTTTATTAGAATAAACTGGCTAATGATATTTTTCGTAACACAAATATCAACAATCATTATCTATTTTTTATAAATATTTCTGCAAAATATATCATTCTTTACATTATTTTAGTTACTTTTTTTTAATGCAGTCGATTAACGGCAGTATGTTGACTGCAATTTTTATTTCCTCAGGATCGTTTCTCGCGAGAAATGTCGTGACTTATTCGTTAAGACTAGTTGAGGATTTCTGGAATATTTTACTTGAACTTTCTCGTCATCGTCAGAATTCGTTATGACGTTGAATTTAACGAGCGCAGCAATTAAGCTAAAAACAACGGGTTTAAAAATAACCCAGATCGTGATTTCTTGTTCATCGTTCACACTAAAGTATGGACTGTTCGATATAATTCCAGTCATAAAAACCAATGGCTTATTCCTCCGACGTGTAATAACCATCGCCATAATAAACGAAAATGTCAGATCTACCATTTTCCTCGGAAAGGAGGCTTTATCACAACTATAAATGTTATCCCTTCCTCTTTCTCTGTCATTATTTTTTCTCTCCTCTCCTTGCATTTATTTTACTATGATGCATCATCTTAGTTATAAGATCACAACTTTACGATATCATTCCATTTTTATTATTTGCAACGAATAATCACTTTACTCATTTTTTATGGATCTTTGTTCGACTTTTTATATTAAGCGATATTTAATTCGTAACATAGAACATTACACTAATAAATTTGAATCATATAAAAGAAAAAAAAGAAGTGTACACATTTATATTAAAATGTGCTATTGTTAATTAATAAATGCAATAGTGGAACGCAAAATATAATGGAATATTATAAACAAAGCAGTTGAGATTTTATCGATTATTGTATACCACACTGTTACATCGAACCGCAATTTAAAAAAAAAAAATGTTTAACTGACCGCACTTGTTATCCCAATAAACGCTATTGAAATAATCTGAGTATTTTAAACGTACGTGTATACAAAAAAATATTAAAACACAGTCCGCGCACGTGTTCATCTACGATAACATTTATTTACTCCAAAATTGTTCGCGAAACTTGCACGCGTATACTGTTTCAATCGCATAATTGCTAAAGCATCAATTGCAATGGATTTTATCTTGCGGCGGAATCCGCACAATTAAATTTGGCGTAAATCGATTTTATTGCAATGAACGATAGGTAATTGCATATATATATATATGTGTGTGTATTGTATGTATTTAATGCATATACGTTACACTAACTATACCTTTCTTATCTGTTCATGAACATCGCGTGTGTTTGTTCGCGAAAACGCGGCCGACGTCATAGATTCATTGCGCAGAAAATCTCGTTGTCCACGTTCGAGCGAACAGATACGCCAAAATAATTTCCATATTCACACAAGCGGTTGATCATACAATTCAGCTACTTTATCAAACGCGTTTTCTCTGTGTGTGCATCCTACTCATAAATATCGCTTATGAAAGAGATATCGCGCGTTTCAATGACGTTTCGATATATATATATATATATATATATATATATATATATATATAGGTAACACGATATCGTTATAATGAACTCTTGCGATAATAATATACTTGCCGTATTCTAGAAGCAGGTTTTAATGTTTTAATGACTGCGCTTTAAATATATTCAATATATATTCTTTTAAATTTCCAACGTCCAATATTTTCACTCAAGTGTCAAATCAAACTTACGTTAATGCAATGTGTAATATTGATTTTGTTTGAAAAACTGAAGTGTTCTATATTAATGAAGTACTAAAAATCACATGATGAAAATATCTCTATAAGATAAAATATTGTACATATATTATCTGGAGCAGATGATAATATTATATATAAGTAGAAATAAGATGATTTTGTATAAGTTATAGATCAAAGAATTATAATCACTTTTTGATTAATATTAAAATTACAATTCAGGATCTCTTTTTAATAAATATGTATATATAAAAATATATATATATATATATGTATATATAACTAATAAAAGTGTAAAGATTTTTGTGCAAATTAATTTTACATAAAATGCGTAACCTTATTTCATTAATATCAGGTAAATTTTAATAGAATATTAATGTATGATTAAATATTTGCATATTTAATATTGAAAATTAACAAATATATATTTGAAAGAAAAACGTGACAAAAATTTTCATTAAAGGAAAATCGATCCCACTGTTTAAAAATTCAGTAGACATAAAAGATGAATCTTTTTCTCTCATATCGTGTTGCAAATTCGGAAATACCACGCTATATCGATATAGATACATATTTGTATTGACAATACGGCGTTGTAAGATAGAAAATTCCGGCTTTATATCGCACTCGATTTTCGGTTTCGCGCGCGTGAAATAGGAAAGAATCCTTGGAATAAAATCGGGCGCAATCGCCTCTATGTAAGTACGACGAGAACGAACTGCCAGCCGTGGAAAACGGTATTCCGTTCTTGCATTTTTCAAAAAGCACGAAACGAACTTTACATCCAAACCCGCTCTCTAACGTCGACGATATCGACAGTCTTATCAATAATAAATGTCACTTTTATTACGCCCGGACGCCTTTCGAAGCGTCGATGATAAGGTCAGGCCGGTGTGCAGAAACGTTAAACTATATCGTTGATCCTATTATTTTCAGATGCGCCATCCGATCCAGATGAAGCCGGCTGACAGCGAGAATCGGAACGGTGAGTGAAAATTCTAATTATTTTGGCGGGACGCCATCTCGGACGCAAGACATTTGAATTTTGCGCTAACAATAAGAGACGGTGTCGAGTTCGCTCTTAAGGGAACGAAATATGACTCTGTTCGCGAAACAATTTTGAATTTTTGCACAAAATATATATATAAGGATAGACGTAATAGTAACTTGACACATGCTGCTGTTCGCTACGTAGGGGATAAATCTTATCAAATTTCAATTAGAGATATTTTTATTTTATTAAGAGGGTCTTATTAAGAGCGCATTAAACTCGAATTTCCGTTCGGACGCATCTAATTCAAGTTTTAATAAGAAATACGAAACCTTTTCATAAAACGTCTAGTATAATAAGATGCGCCGAGTAATATACCGTGCCTTTTAATGGTTGCTCGATCATTTCGAAGTTCTGGCACGGTTACGAAAGGAATTCTGGAGCAAAGTGGCATGACGGTATATAGCAAAAGAGAAGACAATAATACCGGTCCGCGAAGGTAAACTTAACTCTCTCTCCGCGTCGCAACCTCGACGGAGAATGCAGCTCAAAGCACGTTCATTAAGTGCTAATTAATTGGCCGAATCGAGGGGCTTGTCGAGATTGCGTAGTCAAAGAAGACATAATCGTGCTACGAGCTACTGAGCGATAAGACGTTAAGATTAGCTAGAAGAATCAGCAGGGGATTAGCAGAGATGAGCAATTTTTATCGATAAATATATCGATATCGCACCGTTCAAAAAATATGTCAAATTACATTTATTATTTATGTAATTTTCCATATTTTTATGGAATATATTACATATTTTTTTACAGTGCAGGACGATAAAGAGTCTCTTCCTATTTATATTCTGTTACTTTCTTAGAAAACTTTTCAGTTTCATGGGCGAATTAAACGATTTAGGTACCTTTCTAAATTTGTAGATAGATATTCAGAATGATTTTATTCTGAAAAAGTTAAAATTCTTAAGCAAGTGAACGATGGCTTTTCTCTTAAAACTTATTTATATTATTCATCATTATTCATCTTTCTGAGCTAAATCTGATACTTAAAATAAATGATAATTTAATACGTGTCATTAATATTTAATAAGAGTGTCAAAATATGAATGTTAAAAAAAGTAGGAAGAAGATGAAATCATTTTTCTCGATGAATATACATGATGATTCTATCAAACGCCCAACAGATTTTACTTTGAAACATTCTAATTTCCTCCGCCATACATCGAGAGATCGAGAAGGGACCGCGTAAAAATTTGAAAACATCGAAAAGCATATCGAATGGCACCGCGAATACCAGCAGAGGAGTCAACGGACGCGGCAAAACGCGCGATTTTTTTACGTATAACTGCGCCGCGTTAGCAATAAAAATCCAACTACCGGCTGGATGGGGGTGTAACGTAGAACGTATATAAAACCGGGCACGTCGAGGTGGAACGACGCAAAACGAATGCTAATGAAATATTAACGACACCCGTCACGTGCTGCGCTCGGCTGGACCGTTCACTGTTTCTCTTTCCTTCCTCCCTCTTTTTCTCTGTTTCCCTCTGTTTCTTCCTCTTTTTCCCTTTCGCTCGTTCACTCTCCCGCTTTGCCTTTTTTCCTTTTTTTTTTTATTTCGTACCGTATAAGAACTTTTAAGAGGGTGGATGGGTGGAGGTGAGGACGCTCGTACGCGCAGGGTAGTTTTTACATCGAGATGCAACGCCGTTTTGGTCGTCGTAGCCCGGCGCTGTGTGCAAATGACGTGCCAAATTGTAATCACGCCAAGATTCAAGCGGCTTTACACCTCGCGTTAACCGAAACCTGATTCTGACACTTTGTTTGTTACGGTCGGGCTTGCGCAGTTGCGCGAACAAGATCCTAGATCAAGTAACCGCGTTACATGGACCGACGCTCGATCCTGTTTACCAGCAGTTAGGCATTAAATAGAAGTTACTTCGTTGGTTAACCATTCAATCGCGACAGCTTCGCAGTTGAACTAACTTCAATTTTTCGATCGAGTTAGCGAGGATGATTCTGAAAGTGAATCCGTGAGAAAAGAACTAAGTGAGTAAAAGAGAAACTTGAAGAGAATTTTTGAAATTTCTTAGCAATCAAAAATATCCTCGCAAAAATTTGCCGGTGATTTATTAGGTTTACATCTATTTTTAGTGAAAATTATTTAAAGATAATTTTATTTGAAAAAATTATGAACTCAAACTGAACAATAAGGCAGAAAAAGTTGATTGTAAAAATATATTTACTATTATTACTGCTTATATACACTTTTATTAAAAATTTTTAAATTATATAATATAATAGCAGTACTGTGAGGGTAAATTAAATATTTAAAATAGGTACAACGAGTGTAAGGATTAAAGCTTCAATTTTTCGATCGAGTTAGCGAGGATGATTCTGAAAGTGAATCCGTGAGAAAAGAACTAAGCGAGTAAAAGAGGAACTTGAAGAGAATTTTTGAAATTTCTTAGCAATCAAAAATATCCTCGCAAAAATTTGCCGGTGATTTATTAGGATTACATCTATTTTTAGTGAAAATTATTTAAAGATAATTTTATTTTAAAAAATTATGAACTCAAACTGAACAATAAAGCAGAAAAAGTTGACTGTAAAAATATATTTACTATTATTACTGCTTATATACATTTTTATTAAAAATTTTTAAATTATATAATATAATAGCAGTACTGTGAGGGTAAATTAAATATTTAAAATAGGTACAACGAGTGTAAGGATTAAAGCTGCATATTAAATAGACGCGATAATAAAAAAATATATACTACACTCAAAATACTATGGCACCTAAAATATAATGCAGAGTAAAGATAAAAATTAAAAATTTATTGTGACTGTATGTCACAATAATAGCCAACGAATTAACGCTGTTATTCAAGCTTTTTTTATTCAGGCTAGATTTAAAAAATATTTCCACAAGAAAGGGAGAGATAGTTCTTCAATTGCTTATCAAAAGAGTTAGTCAGAGAAATATGTAATTATACCACAGCCATTTCTTCTAATTGTATATTTTATCTCAATTACAACTAAAATCCCATTTTATTTATAGCATAAGCAAAGCAGAGCGAGACTAGGGTACGAGTGCATAGTATCCGTGGTTGTATATAAAAATGAATAGACACGACGTGGTGTAACCGAAACCGAGATCAGGCTATTCGTAACCGCGCACACGTGCAATACGGAAAAGGATTTTTCCATATGGGATGCGGAACGTGCTCACGGTGGCCGCCATGAATAGTGCCGTTGTGGCTACATGCAAATCCTAGTAAAACGGGAAAATAGTAAACAAGAAGAGAAAGGAGAGAGAGAGAGAGAGATCACAAGTTATCCGAGTATCAGGGTATTAGAGTTGCTTTGTCGTTAGATGAATCTCGTAAATGCCCGGCCACGTTCTGACATAAGCCGAATTTGGATAAAGCAATTCCAAGGTCATGCACAAAGCGCGAGATTACTCGAATATGAAACTTATTTTCTTGCACAAACACGCAAATGTAGTGAAAATGTGTATAAGGGTACATTGACATCGCTTTATCGTGAATTGTGAAAAGATTACGACACTTGTTGTTAGAAAGATTATAGTAGAAAAGTCAGTATTTGTTGATCGATTCAATTTTATGGATAATTTGGAAAAATATGTAACGCGTATTGAGTAACAGGATCTTATTAAAATTATTTTGGCAATTTACATTGTTTAAAAATTAATTTATGCTTAAATATTAATTAATATATTATATAAATTTATCTCCTTGCTTTATTTTTTATATTAATGATAATGAATAAAAATGAAACGCAGCAACTCTTGATGACATTTTTTCTGCGCAACTTCTCAAACAGAAAATTGTTCCATAAGATAAAATAAATTATCATGTGCATTTTATTGCAAATATCTGCTAATCTAACAATTGAAAAAGAAACGCTGAATATAGAGAACGCGCAAACCTTATTTCTCATCCTATAATTACTCTCTCAATGACGTAGTTACGAGCGAACGATTTTAGCAGCGTTTCCGACGGGATGCACGCCGATCAAGGGACCCCTGTCAAGTGTGACAGCCCAACGAAAAGAAGAGCGAAGAGAGTGAAAGCTTTATTTATATCCCTGACATTCTGTTTATTTTGGCTGACAGACCGGTGGCTTGCTCCGGGCTCTAACTGGTAACGGGTTCTAGCTGACTTGTCTTCTCTACTAGTTTCATTCTATCCCGACATTGCTTCCGATTATGTCACGTCTTAAAGGATATGAACGAGACTAGCAGTTAAATTAATTACTGATTTCTCCGTGGAAAACTATTATCGCGCGTTGACAACTGGGTTAACATCGTTGCACAATGTAACACACGTTATTGTTAACCTGTTTGCAAGTTAGCGTTTTCTTTAAACTCTTTCTAATCTGTCCTTCAATTTTGTTATCTTGAACCTGATACAAGTCACGTGTGCTCCATCTTTACTCTGTTATCAGTTAATAAGCGTTTGAAAATAAACTTTATAAAGAACTAAGTCAGCGTTTCGTTCACCAATAAACAGTAACCACAAAGAATAACGCAAATAAATTAGATACGTGTTTCTCTCGTAAAATAATATATTAGCAATAATTATATTTTTTGAAAGCGGAAAAATTAAAACATGTAATTTCTAAATTATATTTATCAAGCATGTTAAACGATTTTCAAGATTTTAAAAGAAGAGCAAATTTCTTAGTCAAACGTGTAAAATTTAATCCATTTGTATGTGAAATCTTATTGTTGCAGCAAATACGCGCGTTTAGTTATATCATTTTTTTATATTTTGATTGACACTCGCTGTCATTCGTTATTCTTTCGGCGAATGATTTGATCATTGTTTGAACGGAGTGGAATTCGAACCGACTTTTTTTTATTGTCGAGATGATAGATGCAACACACGTTGTTGAGCTTTGTACTGTTATCTAATTGGTAACCTTTTTGATGTTACTCATTACTTCGTTTCATGCGATCCGATTCG